CCTCCTAACAAAATCCCGATGCAAGGCGTTGCAATTTCCGTAGACCGCGCGGCATCGGCCCTGTGGCTGACGTTGCGTGGCGGCTAGTAAGCGAACGAAAACGAAAACGTTTGGAAAACATTATCCTTGAACTTGCTTCAGGATGCCGCTTCATGCGTTTGGAAGGTGGTCCGTGGGTGTGCTCGTGTTGGCCTTTTCAAATTTTGATCTCGTTTTGATCTGTTTCATTGTGCCCTGAGGAAACCCCTGAACATTCCCGGGCAAGGAACCAGTGGGTAGAACACTAGGGGCCCCCGGTCAGAGGCCCAAGTGTCATTCCGTTTCAGTGCGGGACGCCAGCCGGCTACTATGCTGGCGACACGGGAGCAGGGTCCGCAGGGCGGCACGAAAGCTCTCAGAGGGATCGGTCATACATTGGTCACCTATCTGACGCCGGAGCCCCCTGGCCCGGGCCTTTGGCCCCGGGTAGACGCAAGGGCCCTGACTGATGTAAAAATATTCCTTTTCGCCACAGGTGTCACGTAATTGGCACAGAGACACCACTTCAGCATAACTGATCTCTGGCTGAAATAGGATGGACAGCTTCGCGTTCGGCGTTGGCTCCGTCGACTAACACTGGGCCTTCCATTGCCTTATTGTGGACTCATCGCAAACTCTCACATCACTTTTATTATCAGAGGGCCCAGACCAACGAAACAGGTCCTCTAGCCTTTGGGGCCCCGTCACTGCCACTGTTCAGCAAATCTCCTGCCCCGATCAGGAGCTCCCTGGGCCTGAAAGAGTCTCTATGTCAGCTCACCGAGACCACCAATACCGAAAAGACGCTTCAGCGTCGGTCTGGGGCCCGGGGTCCCTTTTCCAAACAGGGGCAGGGCCACGATCTTGCCGTCAAATACGTGCAGTGCAGCGTGCTTCACCTGACCTCGCCGTCCAGTGCAGTGAGCCTCACCTGACGTCGTCGTCAAATACAGCGTGTCTGGTCTGACCTCGTCGTTCAGTGCAGCGTGCCCCACTTGAACTCGTCCAGTGCAGCGTGCCTCACCTAACCTCGTCGTCCAATGCAGCGTGCCTCACCTGAACTCGTCGTCCAGCACAGCGTGCCTCACCTGACCTCGTCAGCCAGTACAGCGTGCCTCATCTGAACTCGTCGTCCTGTACAGTATGCCTCATCTGAACTCGTCGTCCTGTGTAGTGTGTCTCACCTGAACTCGTCGTCCTGTGTAGTGTGCCTCACCTGAACTCGCTGTCGCGGCCGCAGGGGATTTCTGCTGACGGCCCCGAAGGTGTTCATAGCCAACACCGCAGAACGCTTCTGTTTGACGTTTTTCAACCTGCGTGGCGAGGTCAGTGTGTCCGTTTACCTGCTGCCCAAGAAGAACAGCACCGTCGACGACAGTTTGGCGCAGCTCTCCCGCATCTTCGACGTCAACGGGCCCGGTGAGTTGTGTGCATCTGGTGCTGGGGAGACTAAGTATGGTCTGGTGACGGGGTCTGTCCGCGTCCTGTCGTGTGGTGCTGGGGAAGCTAGGTATGGTCTGGTGACGTGGTCTGTCTGCGGTCTACCGTCTGGTGCTGGGGAGACTAGGTATGGTTCTGGTGACGGGGTCTGTCTGCGGTCTACCGTCTGTGCTGGGGAAGCTAGGTGTGGTCTGGTGACGGGGTCTGTCTGCGGTCTACCGTCTGGTGCTGGGGAGACTAGGCATGGTCTGGCGACGTGGTCTGTCCGCGGTCTACCGTCTGGTGCTGGGGAGACTAGGTATGGTCTGGTGACGGGGTCTGTCTGCGGTCTACCGTCTGGTGCTGGGGAGACTAGGTATGGTCTGGCGACGTGGTCTGTCCGCGGTCTACCGTCTGGTGCTGGGGAAGCTAGGTATGGTCTGGTGACGTGGTCTGTCCGCGGTCTACCGTCTGGTGCTGGGGAGACCAGGTATGGTGTGGTGACGGGGTCTATCTGCGGTCTACCGTCTGGTGCTGGGGAAGCTAGGTATGGTCTGGTGACGTGGTCTGTCCGCGGTCTACCGTCTGGTGCTGGGGAGACTAGGTATGGTCTGGTGACGTGGTCTGTCCGCGGTCTACCGTCTGGTGCTGGGGAGACCAGGTATGGTGTGGTGACGGGGTCTATCTGCGGTCTACCATCTGGTGCTGGGGAGGCTAGGTATGGTCTGTTGACGTGGTCTACCTGCAGTCTACCGTCTGGTGCTGGGGAGACTAGGTATGGTCTGTTGACGTGGTCTACCTGCGGTCTACCGTCTGTTGCTGGGGAGACTAGGTATGGTCTGGTGACGTGGTCTATCTGCGGTCTACCATCTGGTGCTGGGGAGGCTAGGTATGGTCTGGTGACGTGGTCTGTCTGCGCCTTGCTGTGTGTTTCAGGTAGCACGACGCACGTCGTTGCGCACGTGTTATGGAGCGCCGCTGACAACAGTGCTCTCATGACACCCACCGGCATTGGAATCCGACGCTGTCGGGCACTTGTCTTTCCAGCATGTTCACCATAACCGAGCTCTTTCACGTTCTTCTGGTTTTGCGTTTTGCTAATCATGACTTGAGATGCTTTGCGTCGATCCTTGCTGAGGAAAGCACCCTGTCGCCGCCTCGAGCTTACAAGCATTAGTGAATCAATGACCTTGAAGGTGGATACTTACCGAAAAAATATCCGAACCTGCAATCAGTTCATGAACGCTGCGCTGCATTGTGTCAGCATCACCCACGCCCCACATGTCCACATCGTGTGGGATGAGCACTTGCGGGACATCAACACAATCACCTCCGTCATGAAGGGCGAACTCATCAGAGAATTCACCACGCTAGTGCAAGACGTGCAGAAGAGCACAGCTGAGGCTGACCGGGCGTTGACCATCTCCCAAACGAAGGCATAGCCTATCAATCGGGCCGCGAGCCTCTGGAATGAGCAGCTGCGAACCTCTGGAATGAGCAAGCCGCAAACCTCTGGAATGAGCAGCCGCGAACCTCTGGAATGAGCAAGCCGCAAACCTCTGGAACGAGCAGCCGCAAATCTCTGGAACGAGCAGCCGCAAACCTCTGGAACGAGCCGCCTCGAACCTCTGGAATGAGCAGCCGCGAACCTCTGGAATAAGCAGCCGTGAACCTCTGGAATGAGAAGCCGCGAACCTCTAGAGCGAGCGGCAGGACGCGCAGCAATCGATGATGTGAGATCAGCAATCTGACATAGGCGCGCGCCTTTTCGTTAAGTCAATGGCTCACCGCGCAGCCTGTTCTAGATGTCTCGGCGCAGGCTCGGCATAATGACGAGCCGGGGTCGGCTCACCAGATGCCCGTTGTCGAGAGTGGGGCAGTCACGCTGGTCGAGAACGGACGTAGCAGCTGGGCGAGACCGGATTTGTGTTGCGAGAATCCTCCCGGGCAGCGTCCTAGATAACAAGTGGCGTGCCCTGTAGCTGCAAGATTCCGCTCTCCCCATCTGAATGGCCTAAATGCTGTCCTTGGAATCAGACTGCGGCTTTTGATGCGCTGCATCCTGCTCAGCGCCCTGGTCGTCCGCCGTGGAGGCGTTGACAACCAAGTGGGAGAGAGCGTAAGTGCGACGCCCCCTCAGGCCGCCGCTAGCTTGCCATGACGCTTACCGGACAAGCAGCTGATCATGAAGCTGGTGGCTTGACGTCGGAGACTCAAGCATCAGTTGCAGTCGCGGTTTTTATGTTGGTCAGAGCGTTGCTGTTGAGCAGTGGCAGGATGAACAGGTGGTGATTAGTGCCGACCTTGAGGAAGTGGAGGCCAGCAAGGAGGCATTTGGGTCCACTCAAGTGATGATCAGGATCTCCAGCTCAGTAGTCGAGTATTTGATTTGGCGTCAGACTGAGACCTCACAGGTTGGTGCAAGCTTTCCAATGTTTCCGAGTGAAATGGTGTTACCCTTGTCACTAGCCAACAATCAACAGTTTGAAATTTGTTGACGCGGTTCAGAGAAGTCGATTTGCCGGAGGCAGAACGCAGTGACTGGTCACTGCGTTCCAGACTCCAATGCTACATGTTCTCTCAATCTCTGGCAAATCAAGAACGCCGCGCCGAGTGTCGTGCTTTTTATTGCAAGCTGACTTTTAAAGTTAGGTTTTACGTGGCCAGCACTCAGTTTTAGTACTAGTATATTCCACAACCCGTTCTAAGCGGCTGTTTATTCGCTATTGTTAAATTACATATTTTGAAATAACAAAACAAACAGCACGAAGCAAAATGCGGTAATAAGACACACGATACCTGATGCGAAGTATTAGTATCACGGATGGAATAATTGAGCTGGCGCCAGAGTCTACCGTGCTGGTGTGCTCACAGCATCTCAGTTAATTCTCCTGACGTCATCAGGCGTAATTGAATCCCGTTAAGTACTGTATGGTGTCTGGCTGTCAACTGTGTACGCGTCACAACCAGATACTCTCTTTGGAATTCATAACACAGTTATCTCTCTTGGAATCTCAACAGTTCCAGGGAGCAAATTCTGGTTATGACGGAATTTGCTCCCTGCATCCAAATATGCGTGCCAAGGATCCAAAGGTGCAAACAGGCACTGTTTTGACAATATTTTCTTAGTTTGTTGGGTAGCACTGTCTTGCCAGTGTCCGCTTGTAAAAAAGGGCAAATACCGTCAGAAGAAGAGTTCCAAACTCCTGATGCTCTATGCAAGATATTTGAATGTCGGAAGGTATTTTAGGCATCAAGTTCCACGGATTCGCTTGATCCGAGCTTGATTTGCTTCTGTCATGCGGTTTCCGTCTGTGAGGTGCATCGAACATCACGGCTTGTCGTGGGTCTGACCACGGTCTCCGTTCCTACCGGCTCTTTCCGGCAAAACGGTGCAGAGAAACACACAATCTTGGCTTAGAAGTCATCGTTCTTTTTGTTGACGATGTGACGTAATTGTTTTTACGTTTACCCTTTTTTGGAGCGAACGAAGGCTCATTGTGTTTCAGATGACGACAATGTCTGCTTCGACTTTACCGTGCCGAAGAAGAAAGTGCCGACATATGCGTTTTCTACGCGCAACTGTTCGTTCTGGATTATTTTGGTCGACACAGCAGTTTAAGGTACGGGAAAATCTGAAAACGTTCGGGACTGTTTGCAACAAAACACGGCCCCGCATGTCAAAAAGATATATTTGAGCGCGTCTGAGTGTACATGTAAGTGAGCGTATCTCTTATTTGTTAATGGCTTATGGTCAGATTTATCTTAGCGTCCACACCTTGCATGCAGATATCACAGATCACACGTAGTACTGATGCGCGCTCCTCAAGTTTTGGGGTGCTGCTTCAGACACACAAAACCGTGCTAGGTGTAAAGAAGCTCATGGTTTATCCTGTCGGAAGGTAAACTTGGTCCACTGTGCATAGCGTCATTCGCTCGGCGCAACTGAGTGTAAAGGCCTATCTGGCAATTCATATGAATGACCAACTTATCTGAGTGTGGTAGCAAGTTTTGTCATTGACCACCGGCGACGTGATCGAGCTTGCCGAAATGCTGCACATCGTCTTCCACAGCTTCGTCTGCTGCCCTACACGCTGGTGACGCTGGTTCAGACCGACAAGTCCAAGTACAAGGCCGGCGATCTGGTGCAGTTCCGCGTGGTGACGCTCAAGAGTGATCTCACTGCCATGGAGGAGGTGGTGAGTATACCGAGAGCGATCCTCCGGGACACTGAATATGCGCTAACCCGGAAGATAGCCTCATAGTTCACATGGAGCTCCCGATCGCAGTTTATTCGAGGGATGTGTGGCGTGTTGGCAGCTTTCTTACCTTACTCCCCACGCGGCTGACGGAATGGGACGGTTTAGAGTTGTGTCAGATGACCTCGGTGACCTCGACAAGTTTGAGGTGACAATATGCCCGTGGGAGGGGAAAAACGAAAACTCAGTAGCATGCCTTCTTCTTCTACGTGTCTTGGAAAAGTTACCGCATTAAAGGGTTATTTTGATGTGGATGTGGTGGGAAAATCACCCCACTGCCCCTCCTCCCCATAGGTAAAGCTGTACAACTACACGACTGCGCGTACAGGTAAAGCCGCACGACTTTAGGATAATGTTTCACATCTGTCTCTCCCGACCGTTCAGGTGGACCAGATCTTCATTACAACACCAGGCGGTACAAGACTGGCGCAGTTCGACAAGGTCGCCACGCGGTCCGGCATCATTCAGAAGAAGTTCCAGCTGACAGAAGAGCCTCCCCTTGTGAGTGCCTATTTACACGACCCACAAACCGCGGTCATACAGAGAGAAAGGTAATCCTGAACCCACAAACCGCGGGCGTACACACGGAAAAGTAATCACGGCCTATAGACTACCACAGCTGGTGTCATAGGCACCAACGCCCGCGACGGCTTTAGCATGTAAGGTTAGAAATGGCAGTGAGTCGATTCGAGCTCACACATCCGTTCGCGTAACGAAAAATAGCGAGTTCCGTCGACGGTTCAAACCACTCGACACTTGCGTTTAATCAGCATAAGGGAGCCACACTGCCTTGAACGAATTCAAAATAACACCGGTTGAAAAACGTGACACCATATAAGCGCGTCACATTTATTAGCGAAATGACACAGGCAACGGTGGGTCGGCTCGTACCCTGCACTTAATCAACACTGACAGTCTTGTGACGGTCACGGCATGACATAAGGCTCATACCCTGCACTTAATCAACACTGACAGTCTTGTGACGGTCACGGCATGACATAAGGCTCGTACCCTGCACTTAATCAACACTGACAGTCTTGTGACGGTCACGGCATGACATAAGGCTCATACCCTGCACTTAATCAACACTGACAGTCTTGTGACGGTCACGGCATGACATAAGGCTCATACCCTGCACTTAATCACACTGACAGTCTTGTGACGGTCACGGCATGACATAAGGCTCGTACCCTGCACTTAATCAACACTGACAGTCTTGTGACGGTCACGGCATGACATAAGGCTCGTACCCTGCACTTAATCAACACTGACAGTCTTGTGACGGTCACGGCATGACATAAGGCTCGTACCCTGCACTTAATCAACACTGACAGTCTTGTGACGGTCACGGCATGACATAAGGCTCGTACCCTGCACTTAATCAACACTGACAGTCTTGTGACGGTCACGGCATGACATAAGGCTCGTACCCTGCACTTAATCAACACTGACAGTCTTGTGACGGTCACGGCATGACATAAGGCTCGTACCCTGCACTTAATCAACACTGACAGTCTTGTGACGGTCACGGCATGACATAAGGCTCGTACCCTGCACTTAATCAACACTGACAGTCTTGTGACGGTCACGGCATGACATAAGGCTCGTACCCTGCACTTAATCAACACTGACAGTCTTGTGACGGTCACGGCATGACATAAGGCTCGTACCCTGCACTTAATCAACACTGACAGTCTTGTGACGGTCACGGCATGACATAAGGCTCATACCCTGCACTTAATCAACACTGACAGTCTTGTGACGGTCACGGCATGACATAAGGCTCGTACCCTGCACTTAATCAACACTGACAGTCTTGTGACGGTCACGGCATGACATAAGGCTCATACCCTGCACTTAATCAACACTGACAGTCTTGTGACGGTCACGGCATGACATAGGCTCGTACCCTGCACTTAATCAACACTGACAGTCTTGTGACGGTCACGGCATGACATAAGGCTCATACCCTGCACTTAATCAACACTGACAGTCTTGTGACGGTCACGGCATGACATAAGGCTCATACCCTGCACTTAATCAACACTGACAGTCTTGTGACGGTCACGGCATGACATAAGGCTCGTACCCTGCACTTAATCAACACTGACAGTCTTGTGACGGTCACGGCATGACATAAGGCTCATACCCTGCACTTAATCAACACTGACAGTCTTGTGACGGTCACGGCATGACATAAGGCTCGTACCCTGCACTTAATCAACACTGACAGTCTTGTGACGGTCACGGCATGACATAAGGCTCATACCCTGCACTTAATCAACACTGACAGTCTTGTGACGGTCACGGCATGACATAAGGCTCATACCCTGCACTTAATCACACTGACAGTCTTGTGACGGTCACGGCATGACATAAGGCTCGTACCCTGCACTTAATCAACACTGACAGTCTTGTGACGGTCACGGCATGACATAGGCTCGTACCCTGCACTTAATCAACACTGACAGTCTTGTGACGGTCACGGCATGACATAAGGCTCGTACCCTGCACTTAATCAACACTGACAGTCTTGTGACGGTCACGGCATGACATAAGGCTCATACCCTGCACTTAATCAACACTGACAGTCTTGTGACGGTCACGGCATGACATAAGGCTCGTACCCTGCACTTAATCAACACTGACAGTCTTGTGACGGTCACGGCATGACATAAGGCTCGTACCCTGCACTTAATCAACACTGACAGTCTTGTGACGGTCACGGCATGACATAAGGCTCGTACCCTGCACTTAATCAACACTGACAGTCTTGTGACGGTCACGGCATGACATAAGGCTCGTACCCTGCACTTAATCAACACTGACAGTCTTGTGACGGTCACGGCCATGACATAAGGCTCATACCCTGCACTTAATCAACACTGACAGTCTTGTGACGGTCACGGCATGACATAAGGCTCGTACCCTGCACTTAATCAACACTGACAGTCTTGTGACGGTCACGGCATGACATAAGGCTCATACCCTGCACTTAATCAAACACTGACAGTCTTGTGACGGTCACGGCATGACATAAGGCTCGTACCCTGCACTTAATCAACACTGACAGTCTTGTGACGGTCACGGCATGACATAAGGCTCATACCCTGCACTTAATCAACACTGACAGTCTTGTGACGGTCACGGCATGACATAAGGCTCATACCCTGCACTTAATCAACACTGACAGTCTTGTGACGGTCACGGCATGACATAAGGCTCGTACCCTGCACTTAATCAAACACTGACAGTCTTGTGACGGTCACGGCATGACATAAGGCTCGTACCCTGCACTTAATCAACACTGACAGTCTTGTGACGGTCACGGCATGACATAAGGCTCGTACCCTGCACTTAATCAACACTGACAGTCTTGTGACGGTCACGGCATGACATAAGGCTCATACCCTGCACTTAATCAACACTGACAGTCTTGTGACGGTCACGGCATGACATAAGGCTCGTACCCTGCACTTAATCAACACTGACAGTCTTGTGACGGTCACGGCATGACATAAGGCTCGTACCCTGCACTTAATCAACACTGACAGTCTTGTGACGGTCACGGCATGACATAAGGCTCGTACACCTGCACTTAATCAACACTGACAGTCTTGTGACGGTCACGGCATGACATAAGGCTCGTACCCTGCACTTAATCAACACTGACAGTCTTGTGACGGTCACGGCATGACATAAGGCTCGTACCCTGCACTTAATCAACACTGACAGTCTTGTGACGGTCACGGCATGACATAAGGCTCGTACCCTGCACTTAATCAACACTGACAGTCTTGTGACGGTCACGGCATGACATAAGGCTCATACCCTGCACTTAATCAACACTGACAGTCTTGTGACGGTCACGGCATGACATAAGGCTCGTACCCTGCACTTAATCAACACTGACAGTCTTGTGACGGTCACGGCATGACATAAGGCTCATACCCTGCACTTAATCAACACTGACAGTCTTGTGACGGTCACGGCATGACATAAGGCTCGTACCCTGCACTTAATCAACACTGACAGTCTTGTGACGGTCACGGCAATGACATAAGGCTCATACCCTGCACTTAATCAACACTGACAGTCTTGTGACGGTCACGGCATGACATAGGCTCATACCCTGCACTTAATCAACACTGACAGTCTTGTGACGGTCACGGCATGACATAAGGCTCGTACCCTGCACTTAATCAACACTGACAGTCTTGTGACGGTCACGGCATGACATAAGGCTCGTACCCTGCACTTAATCAACACTGACAGTCTTGTGACGGTCACGGCATGACATAAGGCTCGTACCCTGCACTTAATCAACACTGACAGTCTTGTGACGGTCACGGCATGACATAAGGCTCATACCCTGCACTTAATCAACACTGACGTCTTGTGACGGTCACGGCATGACATAAGGCTCGTACCCTGCACTTAATCAACACTGACAGTCTTGTGACGGTCACGGCATGACATAAGGCACGTACCCTGCACTTAATCAACACTGACAGTCTTGTGACGGTCACGGCATGACATAAGGCTCGTACCCTGCACTTAATCAACACTGACAGTCTTGTGACGGTCACGGCATGACATAAGGCCGTTGATAAGTCGTGAGGCAGGGTACCGTACACTCAGCTGCTTACCTGCCCACGGGCTTACCACCGGTGACCCAACTATCACATCTGACTCGCCAACATGTAAGTTCCACATAGATACCGTCTCAATAGACACTTCCAGTTCTCTGGACACGGGCTGCGACCTGCATCATTAGGGGCAGCAGCAGTGTTATCTCGAGCTAACCGCACCCGTCAAAGTAGCGCATCTTTTGTTAAAATTTTAGCACCATTCTCACATCTCGTCTGTTGGTGCCAAATGGGTGATCGTAGGGTTTCAGAATATTTCAATCAACACATCGAGTGGTCGCTGTTCACATTTTATCTCAGGGCGTTTGGTTTGTTTCCCCTCGAAATAGTCCCAGGCACTGCACTCGAATTCATCGAGCATTCAGGAGCCAACTAGCGTGGTAAATCTGCACCCTGGATGGTTGTTAAGGTTTTCACTGAATGGCTGCCAGTCTTGACACTTTTCAAAGCATTCCGCTAATTGTAATTAGCCATGTGCCGTCAGCAACGCAAGGGTTTTTAAAAACTTCAACTAGCGTGACGTACTCTCCCAAACCAGTACCCAATGAAACCTACGCTGCTTTTTCCTTGCGATGGAAATTATCACGTCATTGTTGTTGCTAAATATCTTGCGTTCTATTTATGGTCCACTTCGCTGCAAGTGGGGAGCTCATGGTGCACCACAAATGTCGAATATTGGTATCTGTTTGTAGGCAAAGGTCAGTTTTACAGTCGATTAAACACTTCAAAGTTGGTCGGTTTATGCTCTTTCAGTTTACACAGAATGTGCGTTGCTTCATAGTTTTTTTTCCAAAAAAGAAGTTTTTTACGCCTTCAGTGCTTCCGTAACGTATCATGCAAACGCTGCTATCAAAGAGAACGTTTCTCTTTTAAATATATTGAAGCAAGCATCAGATATGATAAAATTAGCTTACTCATAATTTTTGGTATAATCATGAATGAAAGACTGCTCTAGACGACTAAGCTTCTTTTTTCGTAAACATTCTACTCAATGCGTCACCGTTTGGTAATAATGAAATATTTGAATGACGTTAAGATGCTGTCAAACTAGTCGCGCGAAATTACGACCCTAGTACTCCTTTATAGTGCTTTAAACTAGCCGAGGCAATAGTATCAAGACAAAATCTGTGGTCAAAATATGATATATGTAACCATAAAGCCAATAATAAATAGCCGAGTTTAAGCCGCTGAGTCAAATAACAGTATGCGTTCGTGATTTCGCTCTTTCCAAAGTGTTCTCACATATTTATCCATGAGTTTGAAAGGAATGCTCCACATTTGAACATATTAGAACAAGCATTACATATCATGAAATGAGCTAACTTATGTTTATATCTGGTGCTATGCCTTTAAGAGGAAAAGACTGTTCTAGGCAACACAATTTTCCTATCAAGTAGATATGTTTAATGATACGTCCTTCTTTCATTGCATCATAGAACATTCGTACAACAGCATCCACTCGTAGTTCTTCGATCTTCCGGGAGATGGCAGCATGAGCCGGCGGTCTTCGCTGAGCCAAATTTGTCATATGCTCGTATTCTGGGTCTTTCTCGTGGTGCTGTTGCACATTTGTCCATGAGTTTACGATGCTTACTCGTATTCATGTACTCGATTGTAGTACTTTTCTTAAGTTATTCGATTACAAGTCTTATTGCTGCAACAATTGTGAACACCGTATAACTTCTTGTATTATGTAGCACAAAACGTAACTCGTGTTCGACTCCTGCATAGCTTGCACGACATTAGTTGATGGCCAATTGGCACGGTGATGTCGGAAAATCTTACTCACGAACGCCAGACATGAACAACTGGATAATTTTTTTCTGACCTTGCACGCTGCATCGCCAGTGTAACGACGGAATATGAATTACGTCTTTATGACGTCATCTATGCCTGGCTAACCTTGGTATAAATTCCACCAAATAGTCTGCACATCTCCGCGGGCGGGCACCTCAGAAGCTAAAGGATTTTAGGTCTTAGAGAAGACATGGCACTGGCCTACGCCAAATGGTCTTTAAGATGGTTATGTCAGTTCAAAACCCCATGTAATAGGTATCGCACAGTGTGCCACACACGTGAAACATTGCACCGATGCACTCCAGCGAGATGTTTCACTGTCGTTACCCTGCCGCACCAAACTTACAGGGCAGATGGACCATCCACGTAAAAAGGAGGGACAGAATCGTGAGACAGCCGTTCGAGGTGGAGGAGTACGTGCTGCCCCGCTTCGAAGTCACCATCACCGGTCCCAAATACATCACCCGTGGAGCCAACACCGTTACTCTTAAAGTCTGCGCCACGTGAGTTCCTGGCTGCACCATAACGTGCAAGCAAAGGCCGTTGCTACTGTTTGCGCCGAATCTTGCCACCCATATTTAGTGATGGTGCTGTGTAGATCGTAGCAGGAGATGGTTTGTTGGCATGGTTGTGGGTAACCTTAGTCACGCAGTCTTTTAAAAGCGTGTTAATATGTTTTCAACAAACAAAACAAAACAAACAACAAAAAACCGACAGTGGTGGCCTACAGGAACACCGAAGCTGAATGCAGGCAGATGCCGAGTGAAAGAAAATAACCAAATGTATATACACAAATATTTATGTTCAAATCACAACTCATGGTGTGAAAATTCAGTCACGCCTTAATTGCAATTTGAATCATGAATATGACACATATTTGCGTTACTCAATAATCAAATAAAGCAACAGAAACAAACGTTTCAAAAGTGAAAGAGACAAGAAACCAAATTACTAGATGATGACATGACAGCATATCAAACGGCATCAGCGTTTTGCAATCTGTTAAACCAGTCGAACAAGAGATGAGGTGCCAGCCCTGTGAGGCAGCCTAAATGTTTTGCAATCTGCGGTTGTAAGTCAGATCATTTAATAACACTTTCCAAGATTGGGGATGTTACATTGCTACTATTAACATGCAGGGGTGGGTTTCTTCTGCGAGGCATATTAGACATTGTTCAGCATGCGCCCGGATGGATGGTCAGTTTGAAACCCCGATGGTTTGGCAAAATTAATTTCGAACATGGCAGGGAGGCCTACCTAGCTTTGCATAGCTTTGGTAAATTGAATAACACAACAGATCTTTCGGCATGCCAAATAAACGTACCTTGTAAAGGCACTGACATAAGGTAGGTCAAGGTCTGGCCGTGGATATCAGCAAAGGCAAATTCCAGGAACTCGTTCAATCTGAGCCGTACAAAGGTGTTTATCGAAACCAAAGTCTCTTAGATAGCTTCTTAGGCAGTAAAACAGTTTAATGCAGAATTACATTAGAAGTTCATTGACGTAGGGTCAGGTATGAAGGTCGGGCCAAAGTTATAATCATCACGCTTTTTTACTAAGGGGCGTGCCTTATGGCGTGGAGTTCAGACCACGGAGAGCCATCAATGCAAAAGGTTCGCATAAAATCGTAATGAAGACACTTAATGCATGTGTAGTTGCCCAGCCAATCAGAGCTTTGAAGCCTTTGCTTATGTGGCTAGCGTCCGCCCCCGCAGACATGCTCGTGCCATTTTAGAATAAAGTATTATTTTAGTCCCACGTACCACTAAAGTGATACCGATAAGTGCATTCCCTTTGCCAGTGTTTATTAACAATGACTCAGCCCATGCATCTGTGCCTGTGCGCCCCCTTTAACTACGTTGGCATTGATCATTTTGCATCCAAGCTGGGCATAATCGCACTGTGCGTCTCACTTGCTTCAGGTAATGCGAGCAGCCAAGTCGCCACTGCCATGCCATTTCACTGGTGTCTATGAGCCAGCCGTCTGCCTTTGCCATGGCGCTCTGCGCTGTGTCTATGAGCCAGCCATCTGTCGCTCCCACGGCGCTCTGCGCTGTGTCTATGAGCCAGCCGTCCGCCACTCTGTCGCCTTCGCTGTGCGCCAGCGAGCACGCGATACGGCTGTCCGGCGCACGCCATGATAGCCGGCGCTCTGCCAGCCATGACGTCATGATGTCCGGCGCTCTGTCACAGCTACACGTTCGGGAAGCCAGTGTCGGGCGCCGCTATGAAGCTGTTGGTATCTCGGCCGTCAACGTTCTTCTCCCGACGCCGGGGCGCGTCAGGCTCCGAGGAGAAGCCGCCTTCGAACGTGACCTTCGCAGAGGAGGTCCGTTCCCGATAGCGTATGGGCGCACGCCCCCGGCACTGGCTCGCACCTAGGCTGGTGACACGCTAAAGCAATGCTGGGGTCGATCATCCGCAGCTCTAGCCAGACACGAGAGTTGAGAGGACTTGAGCGCGTGACGACGCCACGGCTGAAGCTGACGTTAACCTTATGTGACCCGTTTGTAGCTTGGTGAGCCGGGGGTGAAACTCTCAACTAGCACAGATTTATTTCCCTGTATGGCGCGTTGATCGAGTCCGTTACGTGCGGCTCCCTGGCCATGCGGATATTGACGGCTGGCGTGTTAAAGCCTGATATTGCCTCAAGTTTGTAGCTCAATACCATGGCCTGTTCGTTCAGGGTACACTGCTGGCTTCAATAATCACGAAGTGTTTCACCTGTGCAGTGCGAATGAAGAGCTCTCGAGCATGATGGCATTCTGATGTAGACGGCAGTTTTGCGCCGGGTCAACCAGGGCCCATGCGTAAAATGCACAGAAATAAAGAGACGTTCTCAATCGACAGCATGTCGCCAATTTGAGGGCGAGGCTGATGCAGTATTACTTTATTTCAGACGGACAAGAACGGCTGTGTGGAGATAGACGTCGTGTTGGCGAAAATCGGACTAGGAAGTGCCCCCACTCGGCGCGTCCATGCGAGCAGAGTGAGACTAACAAAATGTTTCAGACAAGGACTTACTGCAGATGGGAAACTTAACTGGACGATTGCTCCCCCCCCCACGAATGATGTTCTTATTTGTACACAATAGTCAGCTAAATTAAAAATGACCTTAGCTCTTAACACCTTAAGTGCCAGGGCAGAACTCTAAATGATTATTATGTCAGGAAAATTATGTTACTAAATGATTATTATTAACAGGAAAACCTTTTCATGACTGCTCATCGAGCCAGTTTTAACGCTTCTTTCATAACACAATTCAACATTCAAATGATAACTTGTTCCAAAGATGAACATCTTGAGCTTTCCTATGCATACAGCTTATTTTCCCTCGTTCAGATCAAGGCGCGATCTCACAATAGCTCACCCGGTAGCATCAAAAGCCACTCACTAATTTAATGCAGCCATACGCTTGCGGTGACTGCGTGGTTATTTGCATAAGATAAGCCCTATTTGGCAATGATCGGTCTGCCAGCTCGGGACCAACCAGGGTTTTTTGCTACCAGCCACCGTCTGGAAGGAGGAGAGGGGGTCATAGTATCTCTCTGGTATCTCCGGTACTCCTGGTCGGGTCGAGAAAACGGCGATGGGTATCGAAAGCTTATTCAGCTCTCTCCAAGCATCGTGGAGTCGTTATCTGTGATGTGACTGATGACGTCACAGGTCACGCAAAAGACGACAACCTTTGAATAACTATGGGAACTCTGTCCCACGTAAAAATGGTTACATGTGCTGGAAAACGGTTGCATATGCTTAAAAACCTAATGCTTAGCTTTGAGATCATATAATGCTGATGGAAAGCTGCAAGATTCGAAACCAAGTCAATTTCTGGTCGACGTCATCGAAGTTCAATTACAAGGGAAGTCCATTCCATGTCAACGCCAGGCATCCTGACTTGTCATGTTTTTTTTCTGTCCTGTTGACGTGGCATGTGAAGTAATAGGCTTGAATTGAAAATGTGTCAGCGCTATTGCTTCATTGGTGACAAGAGGGCGCAACAAATCGTCTTGGTTCAATATCAACACATAGATCTCATATCAGCTCTGACGATGATCTGGTGTGACGTCACAAAATATGACTGACTGACATGCAGGCCCGCCGGTCAATGAATTACAGGAGAGCAGCTCTAAATGTGGCAAGAGGATGGGAGCTACTGTGAACAGGCGAACATCTCCTTGTTGAACAAGTTCTTGCAAGCCCCACTGATGATGTCATCTCTCATGTACTCGACCAGACATGAACTTTTTCTTTTGAGAATTGGTGGCGTGGATCACCTACCATCTGCTAATTTGGTGTGCTTTACTCGTTTGTTTCTTAAGTCATTATAAACATACAGGAGTTCGGATTGCTTTAACCACTGCTCAAAATGTTGCGGGTTACTAGCATGACACATTTAGATCTTGGAGAAACCGAGGAAGCTGCACCACAAGCCAGACGGGTGGTGTTCTTAGCCCTAAGCGCATTGCAGTTGTGTTGCCGCCCTGTTATTGTGCGGCACCGGTGTTGGCGGCGTGAGGACGTCAGCCCGCATCAGCGGCCGTGTGTATGGGTGGAGACACCCCACTGCCCGGCTGAACGCAGGCCGACACCGTCCGCAGATCATGGCGGAGGCAAACGTGACGGAGAGTGGCACAGACATCCTACAGCAAGCTGACATCACCATCCCGATCCAGAACCGCCGCGTCCGCATAGAGATGTACAGAGCGGCAGGCTATGGCTTCATCAAGCCCAAACTGCCGTACTTCGGCTACGTGAGTCAAACGTCACAGGCGGCGGTGCCACCCGATCAGCTCGCCGGGCTGGAGAGACAAACTTACGCACGAAGGGTGATTCTTTGAAACTTTATCACTTGTTTTGGGGAAGTGGCTTGAACTTGTGGTGAGAGGGAGCGTCAAAGTTGGGATCAGTACATAAGAAGCTGCACCCTGGTAACAAGTGCCATAACTGGGGCCGATACTTGGGGTTGAAATCCTGCGCGCTCTTTTGATGGAGAGAAAGCTGCCAGAAAGCTGCCCTCTTCGTTCTTTCTATTTTTCTTCAGCATCATGCTTGGTAGTTGGCGATGCATATGTGCGCTCCGTTCCTGCATTTTTCCTGCTGTGCCTTGCCAGTCAAGACGCTGTTTCAAGCAAGGATAACGTGCAGAGCAGATATAAGTAACATTCCATGTTATGGCTTGATGTAAGCACATGCTCAGAATTCACAGGAATTGGTAAAACAAAATCAAATGTACTCGGCAACTTACCTAAGTTGCTCAGTGCAGTAGCGAGGAACATTATTTACATAGATAAGACAGTAGTATTAGCCTTATTCCTCGGAGAAAAACAACAGAAGAATGGAGATATAGTTGTCTGTATTCTTGGTAGGAAAGAGGTAAGCGGAGTTGACATATTCTGAGTTTATGTGAGCTATTTCATTTAACTTCCATCACATACAGCACCCGGCCCCGCTCGTCCAGCCGCCCCTGCTTTATCGGCCGGCCGTAATGGGGAGGATAGTAGCCGAGTATATCTGGAATCGATGAGTCACTTTCTTTGAGCCCTGATCGTAACGTTACTTTTCAGACGCGAGGCGCGTCATGATCCCTCCAGCCCTCCAGTGGCAGACATATGGAGTAGCGTGCTGCAATGCACCGTCTTATCCAGATGATGATCACGACGCACCTCCGTGTGGTACTTCCTCAAACTTATGAGGGATGGTAACCGATAATATTTTGAATCGCTGTGCCACTCTTTGAGCCCTGGTCGTAACGTTGCTTTTGAAACGCAAGACACGGTCATGTTTAAGAACTGGCTGTTGTCCATGCCTTCAGGTGAGTATTAAAGACGCGGACAACGAGCCACTGGCGAAGGAGCGCATTCCAGGTCTGCTACACTTCCTTCTTCAGAGACAGGAACGTGTCGGCAGCTCCACCACATCCCACAATATTCCCGTGAGTTACCACCGGTCGTGTTCAGTTAACCGAGTATTCAGGCACTCTGGACAAGGTTAATATGGGGCAAGTTTAGGATCAAGGGGGCGACGTCAACCAAGGCAATAATGTTAGAAATGGGTTTCTGTCAAAAATGTTGGATGGGTACCTGAAATTTTTAGAGATTCACCGGTAACAGTTTGGGATGACTCATTTTAACGACCTTTGACTCTACCATGGGTCATATGCGAAGCCAACAAGCAACCGTGCGGCACGCAATATGACTTCACTGCACGCCACACGGGCGTGATTTCACAAAATGATCTGGGATGAGGCTGAACAGTGAAAAATGATCCGACTTACCTGCAGAATATGCCAGCAAACAGATTTCTTCGAAAATTTGACCGAATTTGTTTACAAAGTTTGGGGGACTGAAGCCCAAGTAGGGGGGGGGGGAGCTGAAAGTATCTCAGCTATATGGGAACCTACAACCCTGGTACGCCCTTATGCTGCGGTGCCATGCGCCCAAAAATGTGATGGCGGGGAGAAAATTCGCTGTTTTGGGAGCTTAAAAAAGTTGTGGGTGTCACAAACTTTGTTTCATTGTGACCTTGGTTACGTAAAAAAGCCATTTGGTTGACCAGATGACATCAAGCGCATGCATTTTTGTCCCTGTGCACTTGTGCTGTACGACAGAGGCCAAGTATCTGGACTACGGTCTCGTCATCCACATTGGAATTTCGTAATGAGGCCACACAGCAGCCGTGGAAGCCACACATAATCCGCCATTGGCTCTATCTGAGAACCAGCAGGTGAAGGTCTCTGAAGGTCTTCCTTCTACATCCTTGGTTCGCTGCGACTTACCTCAAGTCCTGCACTTTTTAAGTGAACTTTACTGGCGTTTGGTACGCGATATTCTTGGGCCCTGGATGTTTCCATGAAACACGTTCAGTGGTCATTGTAAAATGGGGTGGTCGTTGAATGGTCAAGACGTTCGGCCCCAGCATGGAGGTCTCGGTTTGCCATTTCCGGGTTTTCCACGGAGTGGATATGTTACTGGGGCGGCTTCGCTGTCACTGGCATTTCAGAGGATGGTATGCGGCAACATGCGTTGTTTTCTGGTTCAAAAAGGGTTATTATGATGCATATGTCTGCAATGTTTTGGTGCCCACGCTTGCCAAGAAGGTTCCCATTAGAGATGCCCCATATCCCAGCTAACACATAGTGCGTGGTGTCAAATGGAGCTAATCTGTGCACCCTGACCTGCATAACTCCTGGCGAGGCATCTCACCTGTTCACCGACATTCTCTGTGCGAAAGACTGTTATGGTGAAGCTGTTAAAGTTGTTGTGCTTCATTTTTGCTGAGATTTATTGGTATCCGCGCAAATTTACAAAGTTACACAGATAGATCAATATGATTTATTTAATCCGCGCCCGGCTGGGGTCTAAGAAAGCCGCGCCCGGCCGGGGGGAGGGGATGTTGACTTCCCCTGGGGTCTCCAACTTCCAGACACTGTATAAGATGAACAAAGATACCTCCCATAAAATCTTGTAATATCATGAAGAATGCCACAAACTTTTTCGCCTTGGGGCAAATGTGAGGTTACCAAAGGCCACAAAAGACAAAAAAACAGTCGTTCCGGCAGTTCTGGTTAAAACCTATGTTGATACGTCATGACGGAATATTAAGGGAATGGGAACAGGTGTTCAGACTGTGGGAAGTCCTTTCTGACCATCTCTGTTCCCCCACACGGATCAGGCCAGACCAGGTCACCGTTCAAAATTGGTTCACCAGTAGTCTAAAAGAGCGATACTTTTCCTCACGATATGCCTATGACTAAGTTTTTTTCATTATGTGCAGCTGTGAGATGAACGTACGCAAAAGTACCTATCTAGGGCGACCTGGAGGTCATCTGAGGTCAACGTAGGTCAAAGTTATAGACCATCTAAATGCAAAACTTGAAGTTCTAAACGGGTCTATGTGACCAGTAAAATGACTTTCTGTTGTCAGAAATAGTGTTTTGTATGTCCAGGCGCCAATAGCGCCGGCAGGGGGGGGGGGGGGGGGGCACAGGGGGCAAGCTGCCCCGCCCCTGAGGCTCTGAGGGTCCTTCGGGCCTCTCGGAACCTACTATAGAGGGCCCGATTTGAGGGTCCGAAGGGCCCGAAAAGTCAACCAGAGGTCTCATTCAGGGACCCCGGCCCGCAAGACCGGACACTCAAATAACAGCCAGAGGGCCCTGAGCGCTGATCAGGGGCCTACCGGGCCGGTAAAGGCCTATATTTCGGTCGGACGCCACCAATGACGCACAGCTCTGTTTGAGCATGGACCTCAGGGCCCACTTCCCAAGTAGGGACAACGCTGGAGCCGGCGGTTTACATTGCTCGGGGCCCCCAACCCCTAATAGGGGCCCTGTATTGCCCCGAGTCGATCTAGGGAAGTGTTTAATGAGGCCTGAAGAGGAGCCCGGGCAGCCCATCGAAACCGACAATCAAAGGCCCAGCTGGAAGACATAAGGGTCCGAAGGACTGGCTGCAAGTCACATCAATAATCGTGATCCGTAGGGTCGTGACCTGAAATATCCGTCAGAGACCATGATGCACCGTTTTAGGAACCCACGCAAAATCTGGGTGTATAGGTCGGTCAGAGACCACGAACAGCAAACAGTCGGCTCCATGTCCGTCTGGGCTCCTGAGACCCATTTCCCGAGCAGAAACGAGACCGGGTCCGCGATTTACAATGCTTGGGATCCCTGACACAATGAGGGGCTCCTGTGTCGGTTGGAGGTCGGGCTCCTGTATCGGTTCGACAGTGCCGAACAGGGGTCCTGTGGCGGCAGGCGGCCCCGATTCAGAGCGGTGTTTGAGGGGGCCCGAAAAGGGGCCGAAGGGTCTTTCGAGACCAAAGATCAAATGTCCGATGGTATGGTCGAAGGGTCCGAAGGACTGGCTGTAGGTCACATTAAGGACCCAAGCCCATAGCCCATAGCCCATGCCCATGTTCTCAAATGTCAGTAAGAGGATCTCTTCCAAAGATGGGTACCCCTGCGGCAGTGTTCCTCTATTTCGGCCAGAGATCACGAGCAACAGTCAGCTCCGTGTTGTTCTGAGCTCGGGGGGCCCGTTTCCCAAGCAGGGATAAAGCCGGGCCCGTGATTTACATTGGTCGGACTCCTGTATCGTTCAAGGCCACACAATACCTAACAGGGCATTCTGCGTCGACAAGCGACATCGAGTCGGTCAGGGGAAGATTTGTTCAGCGAGGGTGGGGACGCGAGCCTGAACAGCAGAGGGTCTCTTGCGCTAATCGGGCCCTGTGAAAAACGAAGGAAACAAAACTTATAGTGAATGCTCACATTGAAGTAATGAAAGAGTCGTGAGCCAGGCAGGGCCCCCAGTACCGAACGGTGGGCTCTCCAACCTTTTCCAGCATGGGCCCGTTAAGCCCGACTGGAGTACATCTGCCAGTTATTTGATCACCTGCGGTGGGCAGGGATGTTGTTTCGTTAATGACGGTTCATGCGTTGATCCGGGGTCAACTACGCGGATCAGAAGGCCTCCGGCGTCAGGGAGCGGACCAGTGTGATATGATGTATCCCTCTAAGGGCCTCCGGATCGGCCAGGTGATGCCGCCCCGTGTCGCTAGAATGACGACCGGAGAACAACCGCGGTGGGGACGGAGTGGCCCTTCAGCTCTTGACCGGGAACTATAATGTGCCCCGTAGTGTTATACTCGAGGAGCCCCTTTATCGGAAAGAAATAAGGGGTTTCAGTACTGCTGAAAGGAGTGGGCCGAAATGAGCGCGAAGTGTACAAGGCCATCCACGTTTCCCTAAGAACTTTCATTATTTTGCAGAATCGACTAGTGAAGCAAGTCTCACCAAAATGTTTGAGGCCTGCGCGCCGGGCGCCGACAGTATAGTGGTTCACGCGCCTGCGTCAACCGCTGCGCGTCTCGGGTTTGATTTCCCACGGTGCCCGCCCCTCCCGCCGGGGTGATAGGCTGGCAGCGCGATATAGCCCCAGCAGCCGAGTACGTCATGGGCCCGAATGGCTTGCCCGTGATCTCGGGGAGCAAGGATAGCAACGGTTTGGGTCGTAGCTATCGTAAAGCCCACCGGCGTTGCCCAGTGCGAGTAACGCCAGAGGACGGGCGCCGAGCGCGCAGCAATAACCATAGTAAAATAATGCTTCTTGTCTATATAAGAATGTCTTTTAAAACCAATTATACAGATCAGGAATTATACCGGGCGACTTTTTACAACCGTGAGGATGCCCTCTTGACAGCCTAACAGTTATAGCAACACGACAAGTCTAAAATTTACCTTTACTTCTCCAGTTCCACCACCAGATTCCAGCACTATTCGCGGTGCTGCAAGAACGAATACGTTATTGTCATCAATCTTAAAACCGCGCAGGTGATATATATATATATATATATATATATATATATATATATATATATATATATATATATGTATATATATACATATATACGCCCTGAAAATCTTCAAAGGTACAATTTGGTGTACAAAAGCTCTCAAAGGTGCTTTTCAGATGTGTCACTATTTTCGCCCACCTGTTGACCACGGCCTAATATAAGTTGCGGGGCCAACGCTGCGTGGCCTGCGGAGGCGGCAAGGCCTGGCGTGCAGTTTTTGTTTCCATGATATGCGAGCGTGCATGCTCATAACTAACCTACATAAATTGTACCACTTACCAATTATGACTGAATGTTGAAGATATTCAGACAGTTAATCCAAATTGTTGACCATTTTGATTTATAATCAACATTTGCGGAAGCCTTGTCATTTCTGTAAAATCCAGATACAAATTCTGACGAGTCATTTAACGCGTAATTTTGTCAGTTTATTCACTATAAGCTTGAGGAAGAATTGATCTCGGGGTAGCGCCTGGCCTATATTCCAGTTATAGAAGGCTTAAGTATGTACTGCATATATATATATATATATATACATGTATAAATGTACAGAAATACATATATATACATATATATATATATATATATATATATATATATATCTCTCTCTCTCTCTCTCTCTCTCTCTCTCTCTCTCCCTCTCTCTCTCTCTCTCTCTCTCTCTCTCTCTCTCTCTCTCTCTCTCTCTCTCTCTCTCTCTCTTTCTTCTCTCTCTCTCTCCCTCTCTCTCTCTCTCTCTCTCTCCCTCTCTCTCTCTTTCTCTCTCTGGGAAAAGCACATCCTCAATAACAAATGGGTTATATCCGGCGTTTTTTTTGGGTCCTTTTACCAACAGGGGGCACTTTGTCAAGCTGTGCCCCCTAACCAAGGCCCTGGCTGCGCCCCTGGCAGGCACTCATGGTCGCAGAGCTGTTGTCTACATTATCTAGTCTCTTCGACGCTTGTCAATGTATTTTTAATGAACTGAAAACAGATTTGTTGGTCTATGAAATTAGACGTCATTAGCCTTGCAAACACGATAAGGAGGTGGTTATGCGCGTCGCACCCGTTCATCTAGCCTCTCCACTATTGGCAACGTAGTCGTTGGCCTTGGTTGGCCTCTCACACATGACCCTGAATTTCGCTACATGGCTGTTTAAATCTCATTATGCACTACAGTGATATCACAACATTTTTTCAATGGAGTATTCAGATCTTGCGCCTAAAAGTACGTAATAGAACTACCCAGTTTTAACCCAGCATGTGTACTGCAGAAGGTCCCCTTCGAGGCAGGTGATGGCCCCAGCCAAGATCAGGTGCTCGCGGTCATATGATGGGCATGCATGTAAGTCAGTACTCTTTTCCTCGTATGTTAACACCAAAACTACACAAAACTACAAATCCGCATTATTTTCGAAAACATATAAAAGATTAACTTTGCTTCTGGTCAAGGGCTTTGCATTTCCGTGACAACCGAAAGTGAGCCAACTGTTGGCATTGTTATGTTCTTTTACCATAGAAAGTTTGAGCAATAACAAATGACTCGCGACAAGTTAAGTGCAGTCAAAGTTTTGTACAGGCTGACCTGACGTAGCTTACGGGTCTTGATACATCAAAACTTCAGATTTAAAGAAAACATGCCGAACTGATAGCTGAATTGGTACTATGCATTGCGCTTTGCTGCAAGCGTTCGTATTTGACCTGTACTGAAAAAAAAAAACACGGGAGCAAAGTCAACTTTCCCCGGTCGGGCGCGGCTCAACTTACAGCTGTATGAGCTGCTGAAGGGTTCAACTGACGAGGAACGACATTGTACGCTCAGCACCTTATTAGTGATTCGCGTTTTCAGCACTGAAAAGGCGTTTCCACACTTTTCTATTTCAGATGTGAACAAACAGCTCACTTTCACACACCTTTCTGGCATACGCCTTTATTACACGATGCGTGCTAGAAGCGCGAAACATACAAGGCGATGTACGGTGCATCAAGCGGCGGTCTGACGTCAATGCCACACCCGTGTGACGTCATTGTTGGGCCATTCCGGCATGTTGCAATGTCTGATATGCGTCGATGCCAGTCTGTCATAGGCATGACGTCAGCCTGACGCGTGTGACGTCATTGTGACGTCAGTGTGACGCGTGACCGGCAGGATTGGCGGTCCGCAGGCGCAGCTCGTCAGCGCCTCGTACGCTCGGTTGCCTATCATCTGGACCGACATTGTGCCTACAAAAAGCAGATCGCGGGTGTGCCGCGAATACGACAGCGACAAGAACGGCCGCATCAAGTTCAGGATCCCCGGGCTCGACCTGGGTGTCGTCAATGTGAATGTGAATGTACGTGTCACGTGCGCTGTGTGCTATGGCCGTCAAACTGCGATACTATCAACATGGCAGTTAGCTAAATGACGCGTCCATGCTCCTCATTTCCCATCAAGACTGAATGGGCGCTGGTGTTGGTACTGTCGTGGGACATCGATGCCTCCATAACTCAATGCCGTGTCGCTATTCCGCCCAGGGTGATCAGGCTTAGGCCGTCATACATATCAGCCTGATGGATTATTTTCGTCTTTAATTTCGTTAACAGTAGCTTTATACTTCCCGGATCACGTTCATCTTTATTTTCACTAGCTATTTTCTAGTTACGTTCTAACTATTTCACCAATTATTGGCCTTTGCCTGGTTTGCATGGGAAGCCATTTTATGGTTGTAGTGCTTGGATCATGGTAGCACACCAATCCACAGCATTACGGCTGAAGACAAGCCCAAAACTGGCAATCTTTTCATTGATGATTGGGACATTGAAAACCGCCATTTGGAGCCAGAGTTTGCAAAACATTTTTGGGAAAATGTCATTTTAAACTGCCGTGTAGGGTCAAATTCCTCTGGTACAGGACGGCCATTGACTCCAGAGATTTGGTCCCATCTCCCGCAACCAGTGTAACCACGTGAACTATAAGGTTGGAAGGTTTCACGGCCGCAACTGTGTTACAGGTGAAGGCACTGCGTGCAGGCATCAGGTCATCGACGGCCAGCAGCAGGCTGAAAATCTGGTTCTCTCCATCCAACTCATTTATGTCCATAGAAGTGGTGAAGACTCCTTTCGACTTGAAATGCAGTGGGTCCCTCGTCTTGAGGGTCAAGAGGACATTCGACATAGGAAATAGGCAACTTACGTATATGGTAAGCGGAGAGGCGAACTGGGCATAGTCCATATGTGAACATACGTGTATTTGAATAAGTCAATTTTGGATAATAGGCCGGTTTCAATATAAATATTACGATGTCAGGTAACGGAATCTTGAAGGAGTATGATATCTTTGTATGTGTTTTTGAGCGGAAATAACCATCCCGAAGATCTTTCGGTGCAGTTCGCAACCCTGCGCTTCTGGAGACCTAAACCGCTATAGTTTCTGAGCTATAGGCCCGCGAAAGTGGGGAGAGTATTTCAAGGTCACCTTGGCATTCATGACGTCACAATAGCCTCATTCAAAACCTGCCATTTCATTGGGCGTGCGGCGATTAAGGCCACGAACAATACAATTTCAACATATAACGGCCATCAATGGCTCTCAATCTATGTTTTGCAAGACATGATTACGTAATCAAACAATGACGAAGTAAAGACCATATTTACCAACCAAAGAGCTTTGTTAAGAGCAGTCTTTTCCACTTAACAAGTATGCCAACGGTTAGAAGTGATCTTGTGTCATGCCTGATGTTTGGTTCAAGATCTTCAGATGTGGAACATTCCCTTAAAAGGAGGTGTTCAATAAATGAATATATTGAAGCAAGCAGCAGATATTACAAAATAAGCTCACATATAACTTTTGTGATGCTTTCAAGGGGAAAGACTGCTCGAGACAGACCAACTTCTCTATTTAGTAAAGATGCTCTCCAATATGTACTTGACTGATCACGTCATCATACGTTGCAGAACATGGGTTGTGAGCCAATGGACGGCCGTCATACCTGGAAGTCGTGTTCACGAACGCCAGCTATGAAGAACTTGACGATTATGTTTTTATTGACATTGATTGCCGTATGGCCAATGGGGTGGCAGGATTACAATGGCATATTATTATGGTATGGGTGCTTGGGTGACCTTGAAATAGTGTGCCCGAAATACCCTGCACATATTCGCGAACGTGTAAATCAGATACTAAAGAGGCTTAGGTCTTGAGAAGGAGAGAGCTGCAAAGTGCACCGAATGATCTTTAAGATGGCTAGATCAGTTAATAAAATTCCTAACAGGTATGCAACACTCCTTTTAATTTCGTACAACCAAAGATCAATTCGGAAACCGTGACTCTGTTTTGGGAGACTTGCCACTCTTCAGGAGTCCCTTTTTTGCTAGAAATGACAAGCGGCATGCAAAAACCCACACCCATATTTTTTCAAATTCGCGCTTTTGAGGAGACGTCAGTTAAGGGTCACTTAAGTAACTTATCGATTGACACAACTGCGTCGATCCCAAACTTGAGCGCAATCAAAATCTGGTTCAAACGTCCCTCTTTCCATCAATGCACATTTCATGTTTGCGTTCAAGCTGAACGATCCCCATCCCCACCGCAGTCATGAAATACACTCGATATATATATATATATATATATATATATATATATATATATATATATATATATATGTATATATATATTTCTTGTAGCCTTTCCAGCGCCGATTTCATTGCACGCATTGTTGGTTGTACACAGCAGTAAATTCAGCCCTTATGACCAATTGGGCGTTTTTCGACGCTTGTTATGTTCCTGTTGTCGCTTTTTGGTCTGTGGATATAGAGTATTCCTAAAGTTCATCGGGTTTTCAACGCTTCGATCAGTTCCACGCTCCTTTTCAAGACGACTCTTACACTATGAGCATTCATTCATGGACAGTACGTGCGTGAAAGTTGGGTTTTCAGCGTAATTCTACGAACCACACACTGAACGTCCTTGACAAAAGCAACATCTACATGCTGCATAATCTAATTAAAGACGCATTTCTGCGCGATTGTAAGTTTTTGCGCTTTCGCCGTATCAAGCTAAAAGGTTTCTCGCACGGCGGCTTTCAATTATGGGAGGAGGGGGGGGGGGGGAGGACTTCTCTGTTCTCTGACTAGTCGTACATTGTACAGTGGTAGATGACTGAATATTCGTTTTGCTTGTTGATGCTGGTGTAACACGGAGCAATACGTATGTCGTTAACAGGTCCAAGGTTTCGGGTTGATGTTTCTTCAGCAGTTTTGAGTATCGCTACGTCCTAGCAGATTACTAACTGAAGACAAATACACTGAAGTCCAAGGTTAGCGATGACTATCATCTCAAGACCTATGATGCTTATGATGCAGGATACCGTGCTTTAATGTTCTCTACAACGAGAAACGCCAACTAAACTACTCATTGTTTTTTATTAGCCATGCCACGCATATAAATCATCGACGTATGGCGTTCCCGCCATATTTGAGATCGAGGTAAAACGTGTCATATTTGCCTTCCAGCGACTCGGGGATGAGTACTTCAGCGCCCAGCGCCGCACCACCCTGTTCTTCACATGACCACTGATCCAGAAACTATCAGTGCAAAACAGTCGCAGCATTAAAAGCTAATGTAGCTTTGCAATAGGGTTTTGCGTGAAACGCGACCAAAATGACGTGGCAGCAGGAAGCGGACGCAATTGGAACTTGCTATTTGCATTCTTTCTGGGGTCTCTTGCGCCTTGTGAGCGCATCGGAGGTGATCCTATAGCTTGGAGATTCCTAGGACCTTCCTAGAACCACCCCAGAACCTTGCTTCCTTTACCCGTAAACCGCTTTTGCAAGATTTTTGAACCTTTGCTACACTTTGCAAAGTTCGTGTGAGCTCTTGTGCTTTGCGAAAAAGTGTAGGTGGTTGTGGCGCCCTACCTTGCTTCATTTATACGCAAGCTATACTGCAATATTCGCCAACTTTAACAACTACGCAATTTGAGTATTAATCAAACTGGACATTTCCAACTAAGATCATAATGTAGTTTAAGGTAATCCTATTACCATTAAGGTGATCCTATTATTAATACGAGGGTAAATTCACGATTTAGATGCGGGGATTGAGGGTTGTGGGATTATAGGTTTGGGGGATGGGATGTGACTGTGAGCAAAGCCTTTCGTTCTAGATCATGACGCGAGGCCAGATCATCCGTCAGAGCTACGTTGACTCCCGGGGGCTGATCAGAGTCCCCTTGGGTTTCGACGTGTCGCCGGTCTTTAAGGTTCTTGTCTACTTCGTCAACTCCCTGGGCGAGATCGTGTCGGACTCCAAGGCCTTCAAAGTAGCCAACTGCTTCCAGAGCCAGGTACGTAGTAGCATTTTTCTCAGTGTTCTTCACCGATAAAAACTTATTTATTTCCAGAGTATACTGTTAACAGGCTGGCTGCTGTAAACGGAAGTGAGTACTTAAGAATCGCGTTCGTTCGTTTCATGCTGAAATCCTTTGATTTCCTCGTCGTTGATCACAGCCCTCTCTCAAATCACGGTAACGCAGCGCTGCCGTTCCTCTTATGACCACTGTCCACCGGTGGCGCATCACTACTCGACCTTGACATCCCTCTGATCTTTATGGTAGCCACTAGCTCCAGCGTCACGCTTCTACCATGTCGCTATCTTCCAGCGCTAATGGCTGCCTGCCCCGGTGGTGTGATTCGGTGGGGAGGTCAGTTGTGTCAAAGTGTGTTAACCTAATAGTGACCTCTGCCCTGTTCCAGGTCAGCGTGTCATGGAACAAGAAGCAGGTGAAGCCAGGGGAAACGGCCACATTTACTGTGCGCGGCGCGCCCAACTCGCTCTGTGGCGTCTGTAAGTATGTGATCAGGTCGGCGTCAGGTAGGCCTATTATTTGTGTTCAACGATATCGGTGCTACGCACAAAAATCATGTTTGAAAACTTATCATATGCCCGTCATTACTTCTGATGCAGAACTAGTACAACATTTACTAAAGCGCGTCATTGATTCTACTACCAATACGTATGCGCCACATTAGTGCCACGTAACAAAAATCGTACTTCAAAACCATGTATGTGCCATTTTTCTCTCCCAAAAAAATCTCCACGGTGTTTATCTACATGCAAAAGTACTTATATTGCCGATACCTATAAGCGGCATTAGTGCTACATGCTAAACTTTACAACTCAACTTTCATACTCGTCATCATTTTACTGCAAGACCGTTTACAGTCGTTATTTCTACGTGGCATTATCTGCTGCCAGAGGCGCGGGTCTGATTCCCGCGATACCCGCCTCTTCTGTCGGGTGAAAGACAGGCTACACCTGTCTTTGTCAAACGTCAGTTCAGCGGGTCGCAAAGCCCAAGTGATGGCATGGTACTTGTACTGCAAAGCCCAAGTGATGGCATGGTACTTCTACCGCAAAACCCAAGTGATGGCGCGGTACTTGTACTGCAAAGCCCCAGTGATGGCATGGTACCTCTACTGCAAGGAAGCATGCATGACGCTCATGCTATACGACAAAATTTTTGCTTCAGAAACTTTTGCCCGTCGTTACTTGTACGCAAAAACTGGTGCGATTTTGCTTTAACAAAACATTTCGTCTGCTGCAAACCTTTAAATGTGACATTAGTCCCGTACAAAAGACGTTATCCCTTGCAAATGAAGACTGCCATTGCTTCCACTCATAGAGCTGCTGCTCCAGCGACTGCTGAATCAGCCGGCACCCTCAGGCCCGCTAATCGTTCCACTGCCGCCCGCAGCGGCGCTGGACCGCAGTGTGGAGCTCCTGAGCAGCGCCAACAAGCTGACGGCGGACAGCGTATTTGCGAAGCTGCGTCAATTCATTATCAGCGCTGGCAGCTACCCGAGCCTCATCGAAAGCCCCTACGTCTACTGCAAGCGCAAGCCACGCCATGGCTGGACGCCTGTCTTTGGGCCTCTGAACACCTCACCATCGTACGATGAGTTTGACAGGCGCCGGGCTGATTTCAAGAAGGGGGACGATAGGTGAACGGATGAATCCTGCCCTGTTCTGAGGGGTGCTGTACAGTTGATGCTGCACCGTCTCAACGGCCTCGGCCATGTTTGCGATGCGGTAATGCCATCGTGGGTGAGGTTATGGGGTGGAGGTTGAGGCAATGATGACTTTGGGTTGCGCACAAAAATATGCGTCGAAAAACTTTCCATGTTAATCGGCTGTGGGACAAAACATGCATCCCCAGAGTTTGTAATCACAACGTGCGTAGGATATAAATTTGTAGCGTTAAAAGTATGTGATGTGAAAAGTTTGGATAGCATAAGATCCATCAGGTAAGATCCAATCTGAAAAAGTGTGTATCGAAAATAGTCGTACGCACAAATATTCGTATGGACAAAGTTTGGACGTCGCAGGTCGCAGAAAAACATTTGCCATGCAAAGGTGGCACTGGAAACGAAGCGGCACAGGCAATACAATTTCCTTTGGAGTTTGCTGGCGTTTGAGTTTTTGGGACCTTTTTGTGGTCCGCTAATATATATATATATATATATATATATATATATATATATATATATATATATATATATGTGTGCATATAGTATGTATATACATGTGTGTGTGTGTGTGTGTGTGTGTGTGTGTGTGTGTGTGTGTGTGTGTGTGTGTGTGTGTGTGTGTGTGTGTGTGTGTGTGTGTGTGTGTGTGTGTGTGTGTGTGTGTGTGTGTGTGTGTGTGTGTGTGTGTGTGTGTGTGTGTGTGTGTGTGTGTGTGTGTGTGTGTGTGTGTGTGTGTGGTGTGTGTGTGTGTGTGTGTGTGTGTGTGTGTGTGTGTGGTGTGTGTGTGTGTGTGTGTGTGTGTGTGTGTGTGTGTGTGTGTGTGTGTGTGTGTGTGTGTGTGTGTGTGTGTGTGTGTGTGTGTGTGTGTGTGTGTGTGTGTGTGTGTGTGTGTGTGTGTGTGTGTGTGTGTGTGTGTGTGTGTGTGTGTGTGTGTGTGTGTGTGTGTGTGTGTGTGTGTGTGTGTGTGTGTGTGTGTGTGTGTGTGTGTGTGTGTGTGTGTGTGTGTGTGTGTGTGGTGTGTGTGTGTGTGTGTGTGTGTGTGTGTGTGTGTGTGTGGTGTGTGTGTGTGTGTGTGTGTGTGTGTGTGTGGTGTGTGTGTGTGTGTGTG